AGACTTTGTTAAATAATGGCAGATTGAACCACATGTATTTCCTTTTTTTCCCATATCTCACTAAAGTGAAAGCAAAGGAAAGAAAAGCATAAGATCTGAAGGAATGGGAGAGGGAGTAACAGTGGAAGAGAGGTTACTCATATTTTGGAATGTTAATTACAGAAATGTGTTACCTGACAGCAGTATTAGAAAAGCTGAAATCTTCAGTTCCTGCATAAGGGACTACAGACAAAACAAGGAAAAAAATAATCAAAGAAATAATAAAAATTGTCAGAATGTAAGGATCCATTAAGTGCCCAGAAATGGTAGGTAAAAAAAAAAAAAAAAAAAATGAACACCCACTTTTACAACATTATGAAATTTCAGAGCCACAGATGATGAAGAAGGTACTAAAAGCTTTGGAGAGAAAAAAAATTAATCTCAATTAAAGGATCAGGAATAAAAATTGTATTGGCCTTAAAGTATCAACAGTGTATTCCAGAAGACTGAGGCAGTGCTTTTTGAATTCAATATGAACTGATAAAGAAGGACCTGTAGGAAATAAATGAAAAAAAAAATCAAGGTACACAACAGGATGTGGAACATGCTAGGAATAAGGTGGTGGAATGTGGATAGATTTATGTATACGTGTTTGTATTTTAAAAATAACACTGAATAGACAAAACAGCATAATAAAAATGGTTCCTGTGGGGGATAGAAGACATGGGGTACACAGAGATGAGGCTTCTGAATAGAGTGTACCTTGTTATATAGTTTGACTTTGGAATACTTTTATAAGTGTTTTATATACTCAATATACAATTTAATCAAAATGAAAAACCCATAAAAATTGAAGACGGAAATGAACTGGCCTAATTATATCTCATGTTGGTGATAACCATACAGAGCAAACTTATTTCAGGTGGCTTTACAGCACAGTGTTTTGATTGTCCATCATTGATGGACAGATGGAGCTGCAAGGAAGTCTTAAACTTTATTCAGTAATCTTAGTATTAGGAGTAATATTGGTACTATTTGAAACTATTTTGTGTACATTGTAGGATAATGCACATAAATAACTATGTTTGTACAAAATCAAGATTTTTAGTGTTAGAGAAAAGGAAACAAGAATAAATCAGACTTTGTAGTGGCATGAATAGTGCCCCTCTCCCCCCGCCAAAGATAAGTCCATGTCCTAATTCCCAGAACGTGTGAATTTATTTGGAATAAGCTTTATTGAGTATGTGATTAAGTTGAGGATCTTGAGATGAAATCATTCTGGATTATCTTGGTGGGTCCTACATCCAGTGACAGGTGTCCTTATAGAGGACACACAAAGAAGAGACAGAGAAGAGAAGGTGACATGAAGATGGAGGCAGAGATTGGAGTGATGCAGCCACAAGCTAAGGGGGAAGCCAAGGAATGCTGGCAGTCACCAGAAGCCAGAAGAGGCAGGGAGCCTTCTCCCATAGGAGGAGAGGAGGTGGGCTCTGTCAGTGCTTTATTTTGTACTTACAGCCCCAGAACTGTGAAAGAATAAGTTTCTGTTGTTTAGGTCATCAAGTTTGTGATAACTTGTAGCAGACTCAGGAAACTAAAATTCGATTCGTTTAAGCAAAGTCAGGTTAGATGCTTAAGACTTTCATTTTAATTGTTAATTTTCAGAGTAGGAAATCAGTGCCCTACTTCCAATGATCTCTAAATAAGGTCTGAGGGGAGGAGGTAGGGTCATGTGATTAGGAGCTAATGGGTTTAACATATTCAATGTGTTTCAATCAATCGTAGTGAAATTTTTCAATCAATTATAGTAAAATATTTTACTGCCCTTTTTGATAATAAAAACTTTAGTCAATGGGAAATCCTTTAAATTTGATCGTTTGGTAGCCAGTAGTTTGACAGCTTCCTTGCTTTCTAGTATACCAAAATATTACAAGTTCATCTTACGTATTTCCTACTGCCAGATCTAAATAGCTATTATTCTAAAGAATCCTGCCTGTCGCTTCTTAGTGAAGCAAGCAGAAACCACAATTTGGGTATTAAGTGTGCTCAGTGCTATAGCGTTTTCACTGCTTCATAGCTTTTTCAGCAGAGCTAGGATATATACAGTTGAACCTTCAACAACACAAGTTTGAACTGTGAGGGTTACTTATATATGAAT